TCTGCCCCTGGCCTCCTCTGGCACCGACGCACGGCCCGCCTCCTTGTCGGCGTTGCCGTCGTCCTCGTCGTCGCTCTCCTGCGCGCGCGCGGGGACCCTGGTCGAGATTGCTAGCGTTCCTCCAGCGGCGTCCCGTCAGCACGCCGTCTCTCGAGCAGCAGCATCATCATCATCATCATCCTCATCCTCATCCTCATCCTCATCCTCATCCTCATCCTCATCATCATCAGCAGCAGCATCATCATCCTCATCCTCATCCTCGTCCTCATCCTTCCCTCCTAGTCCTCACTCAGACTCAGAATCACTCACCACACTCAGGCTCACTCACACTCAGACCCACTCAAACTCGGACTCACTAATGCTCAGACTCACTAGTACCCAGATTCATTCATAATCAAGCTCACTCACACTCAAGACTCACTCGCACTCAGAACTCAGACGCACTCGCACTCCTACTCAATCAGACTCACTCACATTATGTTTGAAAATGTCTAAGCCGATGTGCTGGCTCCAGCACCCCAGAGGGGAGCCATCGGGGGTGCTCGCACGGTTCCGTTCGCGCCCAGGTCGTGGGGATGTCGCGAGCGGCTTGCCCCCTTGGCGCCCGCCCGCTCGCCCGCTCGCCCGCCTTGAACCGCTGGCCCGCCCCCCCGCCTGCCCGCCCGCCCGTCCCCGCGCCCCCACGCCCGCCCGCCCGCCCGCAACGCGCGCGCGCGCCCGGCCCCCCGCGCACCCGCCTCCCCGCTCGCCTCTGCGCCCCAAGGGTCGAAGCCCCGGCTTCCCGAAACCGATCCCCCGCGTTGGCCCTTTCATGATGTCGGTGTGCGACGTCAATGCGAAAATGGCAGGCAATCTCGGCGCTGGAGAAAAGGAAACTCCAGAAGTGCTCCCTCCGAAAGTATGAGAAACCCCAAGACCCTCGCGGAGAGCCCGTGTTCCTATGGCCCTTGAGTCTCCCATCGTTCGTCCCCCCCCCGAGGGTCGGGGCCACGGTTTCCCGAAAATCGCCCCCGCGAGTGATCGGAAAATCACAACTCGGAGAACTGCCTCTTCCCACAGGACGGAGGGGGCCCCGTGGCTCGAATTATGGGAGGCCTAAGGACCATCGCTGAAGGCCCATTTTCTGAAGGCCGATGGGTTTCCCATAATTCGGGGCAGCGGGAGGGGAGGGAGGGGGCGAATTCCCGGACACCCGTGCATACCCTCGGGGGGGGGCGGAGTATGGGAAGAAGACGGGGCGAGGGGCCAGCGTTGCCTGCAGGGCCAGGCGAGCGGGCAAAAGGAGAAGGGCGAACGGAGACGGGAGCGGCACGCGGCGCGAGGTGGAGGGCAGACAACAAACCACGGGAGCGCAAACGTCGAGCGTCCCCCGCCCAGCCGAAAAGCGCCGAGGTGCGGAAAGGTAGCCCCAGCAGCGGCGAAGCGAGACCGTCCGCGCGAGGGCGGGGAGCACGCGGGCCTGCGGCCCCAAACACGGGCCCCTGGGACCTGGCCGACCGCAGCAGAGCAGCCTGACTCAGATCGACTGATGAATGTTCGGCCAGCGCCCGTGTGTGTAGGGGGGGAACAAAAGGATACCGATACCGCTGCTCCACGAACCTCTCCTGGGGCGCGTTCTGACAAGTACTTCGAGGCGAATCTTGCCTTGGCGACGAGGGAAGGGCAGCGGCATCAGTACATCCTCCTCTTCCTCCGCCTCCTCCTCCTCCTCCTCCTCCTCCTCATCCTCCTCCTCCTCCTCCTCCTCCTCCTGCTCTGCATGTGCTTGCGCGCTTTTCGGCCGTGCCCCCCGCGTGTCGGTGAGTTCCGCAAAGGGGCGGGGGCGGGCCTGCATGTGCCGCTCGCACATCCACGCGCCGAAGCGGCTGCGGGACTTGATGGTCTTCCGCAAGTCCTGCAGCTCGAGTGCCGAAGCGTCATCCTCTCTTTTCCTTTCTCCTCATCTCTCCTTCTCTCTCTCTCTCTCTCTCTATCTCTTTCTCTCTGTTGTTTCTTCCGTCCTGGCTCACGTCATCACTTTGGGCCCCCGCTTCAAAGTGCCAAATGTGGTCTACAATCGCTACGCGTTCTTCCTCCCTCCTCCTCCTCCTCCCTCTTCCTCCTCGTCTCGTCTTTCCTCTCCTCCTCCTCCGCCCCCTCCTCCTCCCCCCCTCCTCCTCCCCTCTCCCTCCCTCCCTCCTCCTCTCTCCTCCTCCTCCTCCTCCTCTCTCTCCTCCCTCCTCCTCCTCCTCCTCCCCTCCTCCTCCTCCTCCTCCTCCTCCTCCTCCGCCTCCTCCTCCTTCTCCTCCTCCTCCTCCTCATCATCATCCTCCTCTTTTTCTGCTTAGCATTCATATTATTATTAGTCTTAGTATTAGTAGTGGTTTTCGTGTTCGTCTGCTCCTTCTTCTTATTAACATTAGTTTTATTGTGATTAGTCTTATTGTTTTTTATAATATTAATATTATTAGTATTATTATTATTAATATTATTATTAATAATATTAGTATTATTGTTATTGCTGTTAATATTATTATTATGATTATTCGTGGTATTAGTATTATTATCCTTAGTCTTGTTATTATTATTACTATCAGTATTAGTATCATTATTATCATCATCAGTATTATCATTATTAGTACTAGTATTACTATTAGCATTCATAATAATAATATTTCTATTACTATTAGTATCATTATTATTGTTAGCATTAGTATTAGTATCATTTGTCTTCTTAGTATTATCATTATTATTAGTATTAGTAGTAGTATTGGTAATATTAATTTTATTGCTGTTATTGTTATTATCAGTAATATTATTATTAGTGTTAGTAGTAGTAGCAGTATTATTCTTGTTATTTGTAATAGTATTATTCGTCCTATTATTAGTATCATTATTCTCTTTATTAGTATTGTCATTATTATTATTATCAGTCGTTCTCTGATTCGTCGTCCTCTTCGTCTTATTAGTATGCTTGTTATTATTCGTATTATGTTTCGTATCATTATTATTCGTATTACTCTTCTTATTCGTCTTCGTATTATTCGTCTTCGTCTGACTAGTAGTATTCTTCTTATTATTATTACTATTATTAATATTAGCGTTATTAGTATTACTAATAATATTCTTATTACTATTACTATTACTATTACTATTACTATTACTATTACTATTACTATTACTATTACTATTACTATTACTATTACTATTACTATTACTATTATGATTACTGTTACTATTACTATTACTATTACTATTACTATTACTATTACTATTACTATTACTATTACTATTACTATTACTATTACTATTACTATTACGATTACTATTACTATTACTATTACTATTACTATTACTATTACTATTACTATTACTATTACTATTACTATTACTATTACTATTACTATTACCATTGGTATTTTTTATTATTCATAATAGTATTAATATTATCAATGATGATAATATTATCAATCATAATACTATTATTGGTATTATTACCCTTAGTATTAGTAGTGTTGGTATGAATATGATTTGTTTAAATATTATTACTCTTAGTAATATTCGTCTTCGTCTTATTCTTATTAGTATTACGCGTATTATTATTATTAATAGTAGTAGTATTGCTTCCGAATTTTATTATTAAGATGATTACTATTAACATTCTTCTTCTTATTCTTATTATGTGTCCTCTTCCTCTTCCTCCTCCTCCTCCTCCTCCTCCTCCTCCTCCCTCCCCCCTCCCTCCCTCCTCCTATCCTTCCTCCTCCTCCTCCTCCTCCTCCTCCTCCTCCTCCTCCCTCTCTCCTCCTCCTCCTCCCTCCTCCTCCTCCTCCTCCTCCTCCTCCTCCTCCTCCTCCTCCTCCTCCTCCTCCTCCTCCTCCTCCTCCTCCTCCTCTCCTCCTCCTCCTCCTCCTCCTCCTCCTCCTCCTCCTCCTCCTCTTAGGTCAATGCTTAAGATGATCCGAGTTTCGACGCTAACGCTTGCCCCGTTACGCATTATGATTTGGTGTGTCCCTCGGGTTCGCTGACGTACGCCTGTCACAGGGAGCGAACCAAAGCTGCTCAACGTACGCGCACGTTTCGAGAGAGAGGCTGCGGCAAGCAGCCAAAGGAGCATCCACCACCACCACCACCACCAAATCATCATCATGTTCCAGCTCCTCCTCATCCTCCCCCCCCTTCGCCTCGTCCTTCGTCTCCTCCCGTTCCTCATGAGTTCATTTTTTTCCGTGATTCGCGCATTTTTCTTCCATTGTGAGCCCAGGCGTTCTGTGGGGTGCCCCGAAAAGAATATGCACGCGTATACAAAACTGGTTGCTTGATCAAAGGCTCCACGAATCAAAACATGCGTGCCCAAGCCGAGGACACAGTCAGCGTCATGCAAACAATTGTATGGGCGACGAAATCAAACCAGGGCAGAGGCTGGACCGACGCATGGGAACTCAAGATCAACATAAATGAATCGTGGCAGGCTCTTCCTCATCGTGTTCGTTGTCCTTCTCCTCGTGCGCCTCGGCCTCCGCTGCTTCCTCCTCCTCCTCGATTCACTCCCGGATGGATCCCAGGAGAGCTACAAGGGCTGTCAGATAAGAAACCTGCGGGCAGGGCTACGCCAGCTGCTCTCCACGGCTCCCAGTGAGGCAGCGTCGCAGCGCCTCCTGTGAACCGGCAGCGTGTCCGGCAAGCGTTCTCCGACTCGTTCCCAGCGTGCGTGCGGGAGGCCTTTCCGCAGCTCCATCGAAGTTCCTCGGCGGCTCTGGCGAAGCTTCTTTCTCGAGCTTGTAAGCTCCCCGAGCATACTCTCCAGCGTCCTTGCAGAAATCTCCCACAGGCCTTCCACGCGTCCTGGACTCCGCTGCTATCCGGGCTTTGGACGCCACAAGTTCTCCGTCTCCGTCTCTACAGCTCTGCCACCTCGCCCTGCTCCCAACTATCCTCACCCTCACCCCCTCTTTTTCTTCCTCCTCCCCCCAGACATCACAAACCAGGCTCCTGCAGCAGCCAGGCGCAAACGTCACAACGAACGATAATTCTCAACCAGCAGCCGCATGCAGCTGTGCACGCCCTGCTTTTAGCTCAAAACCTACGCGTCCGAGGCAATTGCCTCGCAGATGAGCCTTGCAACAGAGCCCTCGTCACAATGAAGCAAAACACCTGCAAATAAATTTTGAAAATGGCTACCATTCAGAAGCAATGAAAGGACGTCCCGCGCAGTCAACGGCCCCTCCCGCATCATCTGGGTGCCGCAAAGAAGGCAGCGCCAGCGGCAGCAGCACAAAGCAGCGCCTCGGAATCAGGCGGCCAACCACGCGCTGCAGCTATAGAGGCTCGGCTGCAGGCAGACGCCGCTATAGCTGGAGGATTATACATCTGTCCTGGGCCAAAAAATTTACAACAAAAAAATCAAGTCAGCGCGCATAACACGACACGCCGACAACCAGCCGTCGCCTGCAAGGACGGGCACCACTCTGCCGAGGACGTCGCGACACGACACGGGCAACAAGGGCCGTCGCAAACGCGACTGGAGAGCGCCCATGCGAAGGTGCAAGGCTGGCCTGCAACTTACTGGTGGGGCGACTCGGGTAGGACGTGACCAGGAAGTTCACCCGGGCGGGCATGGCCAACGGGCCCCAGGCAGCACCGCCACTCATCTTGACGTTCGACCAAGGTCTCACCCAGAAGTCGCGTATCCCGCATGTACCCCCGCCAGCCAGTGCGCTTCCACTCGCCCCTGCGGCGTACCTGATGCTGGCGCAAGTACGGTTCCAGGGCGAGCGGCGCTGCGGACATCGCATGAGACGCACAGAGACATACTACTACTATATGTCCTCCTTAGAGGCACGCGTCCGAACCAAACATATAGTATACCCATCCTGTAGATATCGTTTCCCGAGTGGTGTGGCCAGAAAGCACCCGTCACGACGCTTATACTACAAGATTTCTCGGTGCGCGCGTCGCCCCTGGGGGGGGGCACACACACACACACACACACACAGCATTAATATGTTGGGGTGACGTCGATCGCAGGCTAGGGGGCTGGCCGCTACTGTAACTGCTGAGTGGCCTCCGGCCACCGGTCGTCGGAAGCAGCGGTCAGTACCTACCTACCGCCGCCTGATCGCATGCGTTTTCTCCTGGGGGGGGAAGGCTTAGGCCGTTGCCCCCTTCTGGTCGAGGGCTCCGCGAATGAGTGGGGCTGCGGGGGCGCGCCCCCGGGACCCCTTGGCCAGTCCCAAGAGGACTTCGAGAGGCCCCGAAAACCGAAAAAATCATTGATTTTGCATTGGTTTTAGGACGTTTTTTGCGGTACCGCCTTTTCGAGCTGCCGACCGTCCTGGACGGCCCACGATGCCCCAAGATCGCTCCAAAGCGACCCAAACAGCTTCCAAGAAGGCCCACAAATTGACTAAGATGGCCCTGAGACGGCCCAAGAGGCCTCCAAGACGGCCCCAGGATGGCCCCAAGAGGGGGCCCAGAGGGGTAATTCGAACAGACCTTTCGAGCTCTCAGCCCCAAGAGGCGCCCAAGAAGCCACCAGAGGCCCCCAAGAGCCCCCGAAGAGGCCACAAGATGCCCCGAAGAGACCCCAAAGGCTCCCCAGACCCCGAACAGGCCCCCAGGAAGCCCCAAGAGGCCCCCAAGAGGTTCCCCAGAGACCTCAAAACTGCTGACCAGAGGCTCCCGAGAGCCCTTCTGAAAAGACCCCAAGAAGCACCCATGAGGACTCTGACCCTCAACCCAGGTGCGTCTCGAAACTCTGCTGGAGCTCTCTTGAATCATCTTGGCGCGCTCTGAGAAATCTATTCCCCATGGGTACGAGCACATCACCATGCAGCCACTGTGATGCGAAATGGGCCTGCGGAATGAGCGAAGCGGTTAAATTATTCAAATAAAACAAAGCCCACTTCGAGAAGAACACCATCATTCCTCCTCGTCCTCCTCCCTCCTCGAAGAGCGAATCGACGACACTGCGACTGACAGTCGTCGATAAATGGGGCGGCCAGCGACCCCTATCACTGTGCGAAGATATGACTGGGGTCTCGTGTAAGCTTCCTCTGCGCTAGCCCCGCAGGCGCTGAAGCTTCCTCTGCAACAGCCTGAGCAAATCAGATGAGCCCCCTGAGCCCTTGGCCCGGTGTCGACCTGGCGGCCGACAGCCCAGCAGCTTCCTCTGCGACAACTAAGCACCATACTTGTGAGTGGAAGAGCTGCGTCCTCGGCTGGCACATATGCGCGGCATCCCCGTACACCCTCTGCGAGGATGCGGCTGGGGCATCTGCCTGGCACCCCTGTTGCTGCGGTTCAGCGAAGGGCGACGGAACCAAAGCTCAAGCCTCCGTTGCTGAGGACGATGCTCAAGCCTTTTCAGCAGCATCCTCCCCAATCCTCCAACGAAACACGACAGAGAATCTCACATTAAGGTTCAATTTGACCAGAAAGCTGGCAACCACGTTCCTGCAACTGCGCCTTCAAGCTCTCCTTCTCTGGGTCTTTCCGATCCGTCATCATAGCCTGCTGCTCCTTGCGCGCGCATCGCATCGTTGCCATCACACAACGACTCCTCATATCGGCACATAGCCGTCACGACAAGAAATACGTGTCGCTAACCAAGCCAAGTCGGACAAAAACAAACAGAAAAACAGCATAGCGGGACAATATGAATGGAGACACCGCCTCAAAACGTTGATGCTGCGACCACGCACAGACAGATTGGCGAAGTCCTGTGTACACTTACATATGTACATACTCAGATGCTCTCGAGCAGACCCCCGAACGCTCCAAAGAGGCCCATACACCGCCAACAACTCTCGATGATGGCCCAGGGAGCCCATAAGACGGCCAAAGATGCCCCCAGGAAGCGAGAGCCTCCAAAGTGCCCTCGAAGAGGCGCCCATGGGCTTCGAAAGGCCTCCAAAAACAACGCCTGCACTACTTTTTTCCCGGCACCGCAATTCCCCTCCGTTTCCTCAAAACGGCCAAAGACACCATGTCACACGTGCCCCGAACGCACCAAACAGCAACGCCAGGCCGACCAATATCCTGGCAGACCAGGCCACAGCAGCCCAGACCAGGGGAGAAAGAATACATATCCGCGGGCACATGACAGGTCACACAGGCTAGGCCAGGCCACAGCAAACAAGACAAGAGAAGAAATAAAACATACTCACGTACAAATGGCGATCTTCCCCGCCTCCTCCTCCTCCTACCCATCGCTGTCATTATCATCCTCCTCCCCCACTTCCTTGTCCTTCTCCCCCCTTTTGTCCTCCCTCCTGGCTCCTCCGTTATTCGCCGCCTCCCCTTCGTCCTTGTCACGTGTGCCTCATCCCCTCTCCTCTCCCCGTGCCGAAAAATAATCTCGCCTTGCCGAGAGACCCTCCCGCCGCGGAAAAGAAAAAAAAAGAGAAACACAAGAAAACGATCCCGGGACGGCCCACAAGCACCACCCTGGAAAAACCATCCTCTTCCTCCTCCTCCTCCTCCTCCTCCTCCTCCTCCTCCTCCTCCTCCTCCTCCTCCTCCCTCTCCTCCTCCTCCTCCTCCTCCTCCTCCTCCTCCTTCATCTTCCTCCTCCTCCTTTTCCTCCTCCTCTTCCTCCTCTTCTTCCTCCTCCTCCTCTTTCCCGCGGTGCTGGTCGAGGAACGGGCTTCACGGGGAAATGCAGAGCATGACGAATATTGGTTGTCGTTGCAACGTTGCAAAATGCGTGAAACCAACCACATTAAATCCGCGCGTAGACCCAAAAAATGCAACTGGGTAGTGCAGGGGAAGCTCAGGATCCGTGACGGCGTGGGGAAGGACGGCCAAGAAATCAGCGGCGGCGGCAAGACCAGGGCTGGGCACGCTAGCACGGCCAAGAAATCGGCGGCGGCGCAAGGTAGCATCAGGGCGAAAGGCAACCAAAAACAAACAGAACAATATATAGCGTCTTGTGTTACTACGTGTTATTGAATATTGTTCTTCAGCTTTTGAATTAAGAATTGTGATTTATTTCCTGGTTGAATACTGGCGACAGGCGAACAAACGGCCAGCGGCGCCAGGGCCACGGAACAGTCACCCGCGAAGGGCAACTGGCGACAATGTCACGGACAAGGACGACAGAGGAGACTTGGCGGCAGCGGAAGGCGGCACCAAGGCCAGGGACAGTCGGACATGATCGATGATCGATGATATTTCGATGCGCGCCTTCGACAACAATGCAACCGCACCACGCAAGTCACCAACGGCCTAAACTACTTTATCGGCGCGAAGAACCACAACTGACAGCGTCATGGTGTCCCTGACCAAGGCTGAACGCCGAATCGTCGTCATCGTGGATCGCCCTCGCAGGCTGGCGGTAGCCTGCAAAGGACTAACCAAGATTGGTGTCGACAGAATCCCGCAACGCTGGTCATAGACAACGTGTTTCTTCTCTCGAACGGTGGTCCGGAGAAACCCCTGTACAAATTCAATATGACTTCTGAAGCGCCACGCCAGACGTCGCCAATCCAGGCTGAATCCCCGACACTGCCTTGGGCCTGGGGTCATTTTACTTCCCTGAAGCTGTCAAATGCATGCCTCTATTCCAGATATTCGTGCTGGCCGGCGGCACAAGCGGCATTTTGTCGATGGCGTTTTACTTGGGTGTTCGGCAATATCCTCCGATTAGCTTTCCGACGTTTCTGCATACGATAGATTGCCGGCGTCCGTTGTGCGGCCCGGAACGCAAATGCTTCCCAAGAGTTCTTGTTCGAAATCTCGTAGTCCTGGCTGGCCCGAAATACTCTCATGACGCAATTTACTTGTTGCACACAATCTGGGCCGATGCTCCATTTTTTGTGAGCAGCGCAAACAAATTCGGATTCTTGCATTGCAGCAGAAACCGCTCGAAATCAAAACCCGCGCCCCCAAAACTACAACGCCGAATTCGATTTGTTGGAGAAATGTACGGTACCTGAACATGAAGAACTGATGAATCAGACTCGATGTTGCGCAGATCGCTTGAACAATCGCTGGACAATGCCAACGACGCCGCGCTAACACTGAAATGACTTTCAAAAGTTTAACTGCGCAATTACAAAAAATATTTCGCGCGAGCTGTGTTCATACCGATGAAAAACTGTTTGTAAAATTCATGCAAACAAATGTATAAAAAAAAACTACAAAGATATACACCGGCACAGAACACAATTTATTTTCAAGAAACTTGCGAAAATTCTGCATAGATCTCTCTTGTGTTCTCTCTCTCTTTCTCTCTCTCTCTCTCTTTTGACTTCGCAGATGCAATGATGTTCCTAAACAACATGCCGTGCAACTTGTCTGCGTGCACTTTCTACATCTGACACAAGAAACTCTCGCTCTGCTTTTCCCCCACGGGACGAATGGCAACGGGCGCGAGCATCGGAACCGACCTTGCCCTTCGGACCGTTTCTTTCCCCGACCAAACAGGCCAGCGCCTTCGCTGCCCGCGTCAAGCCACTCGCGACGCAAACGAAAAACGCATGAACAAGTTTAAACGCGGTTTCTTCGAATTTGTCCGGATGGGTCGGAGCTTCATCTGCACATGAAAATGAAAGTCGGTCGTCGGCAACGCGGCAAAACCCAAGAAATTGACACGGCGTCACGCGCAATGACACCTAAACTGGGAGACGGCGGTAAACAGTCAACCTTGGCTACCGCCGAAAACTCGTAGAGCTTCCTCGTGCAATACGGGCGCGGCAATCTTGCATTGCGCGCAAGAGGGCGCGGTCTCTTGAAGGAGGACGTGGAGAAGAAGAAGGAGTGAGGGAAAAGCATCTCTGGGAAAAAATACTCATACCAGACCCAGTTTAGGCGTCTGGTCACTGCAAACTAGCGCGCCTGTTGATTTCCTTCCAATGGCTGCGCCGAACAGCGCACAGAAGATCATCACCATCTCTACAAAACTTAGCAAAGTACGAATAGTTGTTCGGTCCCAGCGCTGATAGCAGATCGAGTTCAGGCGTCTAGATACTTTAAACTAGCGCGCCGGATTATTTCCGTGTGATTGCTGTGCCAAACAGCTCTGTACCTCAGTTGCAGCTCGAGACAAATCATGCAAACCAATAACACCTCCAAAGAATTAGCAGAGCACGAATAATTTGTTTCGGCCCCCGTGCTGATAACTGACCGAGATCAGCCGTCTATGCGTTTAACCAGCGCCTCTAAAAAATTCCTTCCGATTGCTGCGCTGAACAGCTCTGCGGCTCATTTGCAGCGCGAGCTGAGTCAAGGAAAACAATACCATCTCCAAGAAATTAGCAGAGTATGAATAGTTTTTCAGCCAGAGCGCTGATAGCAAACTGACTCCAGGTGTCTAGATACTTTGAACTGGCGCGCCTGATACTTTCTTTCCGGTTGGTATGCCGAAGAGCTCTGTAGCGCATCTGCATCTCGAGTGAAGTTAAGAAAAACAAGTTCCATGTCTAGACATGTCTAGAATATTAGCAGAATACGACTAGGTGTTCGGCTTCTGCGCTGATAGCAAGCCGAATTCAAGCGTCTAGATACTTCAGACGATCGCGTGTGTGATGATTTCCTTGCGATTGCTGTGCCGAAGAGGTCTCTAGCTTATCTGCAAGTCGAGTTAAGTGGAGAAACGAATCATCATCTCGAAAAAAATAGAATACGAATAGTTCCGCGGATCTAGCTCTGGTAACAAACCGAGTTCAGACCTCTGGATGCTGGAGACGAAAGCGCCCGATGATTCTGGATCGATTAGGTGTGCATACCAACTCTGTAGCTTTCCTGCAACCCGAGTTGAAATCAGAAAACCGACAGCACTTGTCAAACTGACTCGAACAGCCGATCCCGCCTGAGTGCCTTTTTGGCAATAATAGGTACCCGATCGAGCTCAGATCAAAATGGCGAGCGGGAATAAGATCGAAGATGGGTGGGAAAAATACTAGAGCTCTAACGAATGGTTGAATTTAAAGAAATCGAATTGAAACAAATCAAAAATTTCCAAAACTTCCCTCGAGATGTTTTTGTCAAGTAGCCCCCCAGCGCGCCAGAATTACTCTTTTAGCTTCGCCGCTGCGCAGCAACCGCGCGCGGAAAGAGAGAAACAAAAGCAACCAACAACAAGAACAACAACAACAATAATAATAGAAACGAGCATTACAACAATTTGGCTCAAGGCCGCCGGCACATCGCGCTTACCCGTGAGTTGCACGAGTGCTTTTCGAGAGATCCGATAAGATCATATTTCGCGATTCCCTTTGGATCACGCCATGTCCGCTTGAGCAGCAGCTGCTCTTGCAGGCGAATCTACAGAGCTGTCTCAGAGTCTTTTCAGCAAGGGCGCCGAGAAGGGCAACAATCCTCTGAGTCGATTGGCCGATCGTCGCGCTGCTGTCCAAGCGGCAGCCCAGGCTGCACCGCCGAAGAAGTCGCTTCGGACAGGCGAGAATACCGGCATGGCAGCCGAGCCTTTTGCTCCCGCCCCCACCTGGCCTGGCGCGCGCGGTGGTTCCTTGACCGGCCCTGCGGGTGGCAGTCTTCGACCGGGTGCGGGTGTTGTC